TGGTGTCATGGGTACTAGACTTATCAGAGTGATCACTTCGTAAGTGATATAAAAGTCTAATAACTATTTGTGCACCTGAAACCAATATAATATTTTGTCAATGATAACTGGAAATTGTTTTTAAAAATGTTTAAACTACTTAAGGAGAAGAATAAAACTGGGCTAGCTTTACATATTCTCAAGAAGCCTCAATGTGGACTTAAGTATGAAGCCAACAGATATCAGAGCCCCAGCAGGAGGCTTCTGGTGTAACAGTACATGTACAACTATCAAACTCTACCCACAGAGAGAGATAGGAACATCAGTGATGAGAGTTTATTCACAGCTCTGATTCCATATACCTAGGATGGGACCCAGGAATGTGTATTTTTTAAACGTTGCATAGGTATTCCGATGTCTCACTACCCTCCTGACCCTTTCCCCAAGTGAGAACCATCAAGCTAGAGCCAATGATCCATAATTTTTTAAAATAAATGTTTTGTCCTGGTCGGTGTGGTTCAGTTGGCTAGAGCATCATCACCCTGTGCACCAATGGGTCACAGGTTCAATTCCCGTCAGGGCGTGTAAGGCAGGCAACAAACCGATGTTTCTCTCTCACATTGATGTGTCTCTCTCTCTCTCTCTCTCTCTCTCCCTCTCTCTCTCTCTCTCTTTCTCTTCTCTCTCTCTCCTTCTCCCTCTCCCCCTCCCCTTCTTCCTTTCTCTCTAGAATGGATGAAAAACATATCCTTGGGTGAGGATTTCATTTAAACATTAATTAAAAATAAATGTTTCTCTACTGCCAAATAGATGGATTAAAGAATCTCAATACTAATACCTGGGCTCAAACACTGAGCAAAAATTGAAATTAGATTTACTGCCAATTTTTTTCTCCTCCATGAAAGTCACCTACACAAACTCTCACAGAGTCACATGTTAAAAGGCTCAAAGTACCACCATATAATTAGATAGGAAAAATTGGACAAGAAAATGAGAGAGAAAAAAGGTGCGTGTGTGTGTGGGGGGGGGGTATGAGAATTAATTAGACTCAGATTCATAAAAACTGATAACCAAAAGCAAGCTGCAAGTTGCCTTGCCCATTGTTTCCAGAAGGGATGATATATAACCCAGACTGGATTAATGGCTATTAAGGAGGAGGAGGATTTCAAAACCTCCTTCACTTACTTTTTCAAAATCTAACAACCTTCCAGCATAGGCAATGCTTTTGTATCTCTAACTTAAATCTTGCTTGTTCGGCTTCAGTCCATTTCTATCCTTTGTTAAAAGTGAAAAACAACCCAGCTCCCTTCACATAAAAATCTTTCAGAAACTTAAGAGAGGGAGGGCTAGCTATCAAGAGCACACACATTTACTTCTTAAGGAAAATACAGCCTTAAGCCCTAACCAGTTTGGCTCAGTGGATATTAATTAATTGTACAGGGCTCGAAGTTGAAGGATGTTTACAACTGGTAACTTTACACTTCATCAAGACCCAGCAGAAAAAGCATAAATCCTCAAATTACTTCCAATCCTATTATACTGCAGAGAATTACCTTCCTTAGAGAAGTGTTTTAAAATCCCAGCTCTCATCTGCTCTCTCTCTAATAATTTAAATACTCATCTTTACAGATCTCACTTCAGCTTTTAGCCGTATTTTAAACATCTTTTAAAAATAGGTCTCTCCTTAATTAAAAAGCCTTTCATGAGCACCACTTTCTGCATATATGTAGTTCCCTATCTCTTTCACGCCCTCCACACCTACCTAGGCTGCATCTCTACTTTTTTTTCAACGTTTTGATTTCTCTTCTAAAGAGGTCACACAACTCCTCCTGATCATTTCCTATTCCTTTCGAATTCCGAATTTATCCCTACCATATTTGACATCTTTAAATTTTTCTCATCCATTTAGTATTTACTTCATATCTTACACAGTACAGTGTGATATAAAGGAAATAAAGAACATTACACCTGACCTTTGGAAATGAAGACATACAAAAAAGAATAATTGGTTCCAAGGTAGTTTGGGGGGGGCGGGGCGGAGAACCCTAGTCAGAAAAGGCCTCATGGCTCCAGTAAATACAAATACAAAATTGGGCCTAAAAAATAAGTGGAGAGTTTAGTGAAAAGGCTACTTTACCAGGGGTCCTCAAACTACGGCCCGCGGGCCACGTGCAAATACAAATATTGTATTTGTTCCCGTTTAGTTTTTTTACTTCAAAATAAGATATGTGCAGTGTGCATAGGAATTTGTTCATAGTTTTTTTTTAAACTATAGTCCGGCCCTCCAACGGTCTGAGGGACAGTGAACTGGTCCCCTGTTTAAAAAGTTTGAGGACCCCTGCTTTAGATAGAAGGAACAATATGATTCAAAACTGCAGGCCATCTGAGGTAAGAGCTACATAAAGGCCCTCTGTCACTTCCTTCTTTGCTCCCCGCCCCCCAAAAGGCGTATGACCTGGCCTTCAAATTTTATTTCAGAGTCTGTTGTCCATGAATCACAAGCTCTCTGAATGTTACTGTGTTTACCCACAGCCACTACACATTAGAGCAGCTAACAAAGCTTCATAGGCCAAATCTTATGTGGGTTACCACAAGGCAGGCTTTTAGAGTCATCTTAGGTAGAGTCTTTAATAAGGAGTGTGAGGAGTCAGATACCGCGGCGTCCTAAGCCCACAAAGACAGCTACTACTTTTGGGTAAGTACTCAAGATATGCGCAAGTACTCTTGCTCTGTCAGACCACTGAAGGGTCTTTCAACGTCAGCTAAGTATTTCCTTTATTCACAGCTCTAGAACAAACAGAGTCTGAAGCACTGCGAGGGCCATGTAGCTCAGCTGGTTGGAGCATCGTCCCGTACACCAAAATGTTGCAGGTTTGATTCCTGGTCAGGGCACATAACTAGGTTGCAGGTTCATTCCCCAGGTTGGGGTACATACAAGAGGCAACTAATCAATGTTTCTCTCCCCCGCCTTCCCCTCTCTCTAAAAATCAAAAAAAAACATATCTGCAGGTGAGGATTTAAAAAAAAGAAAGTCTGAAGTACTGAATTCCTATTTGAAACAGGGATTTTTTTTCACTGTTTTCCTGGAGAGCTTCTCTTCTCCTCCTCTTGCCTCAGGACTCACAGTTCAAGCATCCATTCCTCTGTGAAGTCTTTCCTAATTCCCCTTAGGTTCCCACCCCTATGCTGCCATTACCACCTTTTGCATACTTCTAGGGCACCAATTACCACACCATGTTGTAATTATTTGTCTACAAGTCTGACAAGCCACAAGCTCTTTGATGGCAAAGAATGTTTTACTCATCACTGATTCCACACATAATAGGTACAATAAATATTTGTTGAATGCATTAATAATGAGCAACATGGGAAGTTTTAAAGAATGATGATCATATCTTCTAGATCGCAGACAAAATTACAGTAAGTATTAACACTGAAGACTAAATTTCCATCATACATTTATACTACCTAAACCATTCTCAGTCAGAAAAAGAGGACAAAGATATGAGAAAATTGCTCTACTAGTGCTGGTCATTGCCAAGTTACCAATCAAGAATACAAGTGTTTGTAGCACTAAGAATGACCCAACACAAAAAATGAGTGAACAGAATCAACTCAAGAAAGTTTCTAAGTTTCTGGCCCATTGTGCATCTGGAGAATATAAACAACAATTAATAGAGTCCTTGGAAAAGTCACTACCTTCACTGCCAAGGAACCTTGTAGCCAATTTCGATTTAGCTTTTTAAAATATATATTTTTTTTATTTTTTATTGACTTCAGAGAGGCAGGGAGAGGGAGAGAGAGATAGGAACATCAATGATGATAGAGAATCATTTATCGGCTGCCTCCTGCAAGCCCCCTCCTGGCGATCGAGCCTCCAACCCGGGTATGTGCCCTGACTGGGAATCAAACGTGAACTCCTGGATCATGAGTCAATGCTCAACCACTGAGCCACACTGGCCAGGCCCAATTTTGATTTAATATGACCTCTGAGAAATATACAGAAAAGCTGTTCACCTTCTGACTAAATTCAAGTAAGGTTCTGCTAAGGGACAGCTTTCTGAACTAAGTCCTCCCAGAACCCTATTAGCACTCTCAATCATTTCTCATTGGCCTTACTAATCTCTGAAGAGATACAAGGCAGTAAAACGCTGTGGTCTCAAATGCCTCTCCCTGTAGCAATCCTGTACCACACAAGGCTACTACTCTGTTTAAACAATGCTAATATACAAAGGTCTAATCTAATCCTGTGGGAACAAAGCCTTAGATACCCTCAGGGATTCAATAAATGTAGCCAACTTCTGTATTTTCAAAGTTGTGGGCCTCACCACAGTTGAAGAAAACATAAAGGCCAACACCCACACAACTGAGTGGATGTAAAGGGACTGGCCTCTGAGGAACTGGGCGGCAGCAGGGTGGCATGTGGCTCTTGGCATATAGTGAATGAAATAGCAACGTTCAAGAGCACACCAGAACTGTTTTGCTGTTATCATTCCTAAGAAGTCAAGAAGCTCCAGTTAAGTTAATTTAGGTTCCTTGAAGAGACAAATAAATATATTGTGACCCCAGGGAAGAGCATTTGCCAAGCCAATTCCTCAGACTAGGTGTTCTAGCATGTTTCTTTCCTTTTTTTATGTTAATTGGTTTTAGAGAGGAAGGGAGAGGGATCCAGAGAAACATCGATGAGAGAGGAACACTGTCAATTGGCTGCCTCCTGCATGCCCTCTACTGGCGGGCAAGCCCTCAACCCGGCATGTGCCCCGAACCAGAATCAAACTGGTGTGACCTTTCGGCTCCTGGATCGACCGACACCCCACTGCTGAGCTACACCAGCCGGGCAGTTTTGGCATATTTCTTTATGCTACTACTGTCTTACATAACCCAGCTATGGCACTAACGCTTGCAGCTACATTAGTCACAGCTTAGCCCTTCCCAGGAGATGGGATCCCACTGCTCTCTTCCAAGAAGGGAAACGGCGTCACAGCACATCACCTGGCTTCCCGGAGCACAGACGTCGTTTGTAGTCAATTGAATCCAGGTTGCCTTCCTCCCTATCCTTTTTCCATGAACGCATCTCAGCACGCCCACCTCTGCTGCTATTTCTCCTTTAACCTAATACTAAAGCATTGCCTTCCGGAAGGGCAGAGACGGGCACACTCGATCCTTGGGAGCCACAGGACCGTCTAGTTCTCCTCTCTCCCCAGAAAGAGTTACGGTGAGAGAGGAACACGGAGCCAAGGAGGGGAGGGCCGGGGAAAGGCGGCTCCCGGGACGAGGACTCACCTTGGAGCCGAGGTCCTCTCGCCGGCTGCCTGCCTTGCTCCGGCGTAGTTTGATGGATGGGGATCGCAGCAGGTTCTTGAGCCGGCTGGTAATGGTCGACCCCTCCACGGCCATCATGGTGCGGAGTCCCTGGACAGTTCCTGGCACACTCCGGGACCTGCCTCAACAGCAGCGTTGCCTGTCCACTCCGCAGGGTCTCCCCGTCCGCGCTCTCGCTGGCCTGAGACGGCGGGAGG